CAACCTTGCAGAGCCCCTGAAGATGTCTCGTGGAGCCCTGGAGCTCTTCAGAGCACAGTTTGAGAAACACTGATTTGGAAAAGAAGCCAGCTTGGGTGAGAGGTCACGAGACAGGTTAACAAAAACAATATAGGCATTTCTTAGCCCAGGGATGTGCATGCTCCATTAAGAAGGCAGATTAAGAAAGCAATTTGGTAGTCATTGAGATGAATGGCATTCTATAAATACATTATTATTATTATTATTTATTATTTCACTTTACAAATAATTAAATGTCATGGAATTTGCATATCTTCTTCCAATCACACTTTTGAACGCGGAGCTTTTGAAAGTGAAAGTAATTAAGATGCGGCTTTTTCGGCAAACTGCCCCCTTCATCGAAAAGCCACTCTTCCTCAAAAAAGGATGTTTATGCAGTTTTCCGACAAAGGGGGGTGTGTGCCAAAAAAGCCGCATCCTAATTACTTTCACTTTCAAAAGCTCTGCTTTTGAAAGTGCAATCAGAAAAAGATATGCAAATTCCCGTGGAATTTGCATATCTTCTTTCAACCGTTCTCTAGATGAGCCTCAAGAGTTGTGCTATGGACTTCAGCGGGCTCAGAATCAGGCCTTTAAAAAGTCATTGCATTCCAGCCCACATTTCTGACATAAGCAAAGGGATCAGTGACCTCTAGGCGATGTTAGAAGGTTTAATCTCTGGGGGTATGTCTACACTACAAAGTTAGTTCGAACTAACGGACGTTAGTTCGAACTAACTTTAATAGGCGCTACACTAGCGCTCCGCTAGTTCGAATTTGAATCGAACTAGCGGAGCGCTTAGTTCGAACTAGGTAAACCTCATTTTACGAGGATTAAGCCTAGTTCGAACTTACTAGTTCGAATTAAGGGGTGTGTAGCCCCTTAATTCGAACTAGTGGGAGGCTAGCCCTCCCCAGGTTTCCCTGGTGGCCACTCTGGCCAACACCAGGGAAACTCTATGCCCCCCTCCCGGCCCCGGACCCCTTAAAGGGGCACGGGCTGGCTACGGTGCCCGTGCCAGGTGCAAGCCTGCCAGCACCCAGCCAGCAGACCCTGCACCTGGCACGGCACAGAGCCACCCACCCGATGCCCCCCAGCCCACTCCCTCTTGCCGGGACCAGGCTGGCGGCTCCCGGGAGCTTGCCCTGGACCGCAAGAGGCGGGCACCTTCCTGGGCTAGTGCGGACATCGTGGACCTCGTCCACGATCTCTGCACTAGGCACAGGAAAGTGGCCGTCTAGGGCAGGAGAGCTGCCAGCCTGGCCACCCAGGACCAGGTGTGCATGAAAATCAAGGGGGTCCACTGAGACCCCCGACCCTGAGCCCTGAGCTTACAATGGCCGTCCTGGGTCAGACCAAAGGTCCATCTAGCCCAGTAGCCTGTCTGCCAACAGCGGCCAACCCTAGGGACCCTGGAGGGGATGGACCGAAGACAATGACCAAGCCATTTGTCTCGTGCCATCCCTCTCCAGCCTTCCACAAACTTTGGGCAGGGACACCACTCCTACCCTCTGGCTAATAGGACTCCATGGACCCAACCTCCATGACTTGATCTCACTTCCCTTTAAACTCTGTTCTAGTTGTAGCCTTCACAGCCTCCTGCAGCAAGGAGTTCCACAGGTTAACTATTTGCTTTGGGAAGAAGAACAACTTTCTCTTACTAGTTTCAAGCCTGCTACCCATTCCTTTCCTTTGGTGTCCTCTAGTCCTTCTTTATGGGAACTCAGGAAGAACTTTTCTGAATGCACCCTCTCCACCCAACCCCTGCTTTTAGAGACCTCTATCCTGTCCCCCCTCCGTCTCCTCTTTTCTAAGCTGAACAGTCCCAGTCTCTGTAGCCTTTCTTCATCTGGGACCTGTTCCCAACCCCTGATCATGTTAGTTGCCCTCCCCTCTCCCAGCCTTTCTCTTCCCCTCTCCCACCTCCTTTTCCCAGTCTCCCCCAGTTTTTTTTCAATAAAGACAGAGTCAATGTTGGAAGAAACGTTATCTTTATTTTGTACATCAATAAGAAGGGGGGCTAGGGAAGGGTAAGTGGAAGGAGGTGAGGGAGGAATGGGGTACGAGCCCCCGATGGGGAGGACTGGGCTGGCTCTGCGGGCTTCTGGGGGTGGAAGCTCTCCTGCAGCCCCCCAATTACTCCCTCTCCCCAGATGGCAGCCTGCGGCAAGTGCAGCCGGGCTGATGGCCGAGTGGTGTGATGTGCCCAGTGTGGGCACTCAGGGCACTCCAAGCCAGAACTTCTTTGCAAGCGGGGCACCCCTTAGAACTGTGTGTCCGGGGTGGGGGTCGGGACCCTTTAAGCGCAGCCCTCGGCTAGCCTGAGACAGCATCTCCATGCTCTAAGTCCTCCTTTTATGCCCTGCCGGCACTGCTTCCGGCCATCCTTAAGCCCTGTTCAGAGTCCACTCAATGTGGACTTACTAGTTCGAACTAGCAACACGCTAGTTCGAACTAGTTTTTAGTTCTAGACGCGTTAGTTCGAACTAGCTTAGTTCGAATTAACTAATTCGAACTAAGTTAGTTCGAACTAGCGCTGTAGTATAGACATACCCTGGGATTCTAAGAGGAAAGATGCCATGGAATTTGAAAGTAATGTGTTACATTTCTATAGAGGAGGTGCCTAGAATCTAACCGAGATGTAGTGTCGTTGTGCTAGATGCTGTATGGACATGTAGTCAATGCCTGACCCTGTCTCAAAAAGCTAATAGTCTAAAACAAGTGATATGATGATGTATTAGACCAGAGGTACTCAAACTTTTGGGGTTCCAGAGCTCTTTACGTGAGTAAAAATTTCTGTGGTGCCCCAGTGGTCCGTTGGTTGTATGTGTTCTACCTACTGATGTTTCCAGTTTGTCAACCTTGCAGAGCCCCTGAAGATGTCTCGTGGAGCCCTGGAGCTCTTCAGAGCACAGTTTGAGAAACACTGATTTGGAAAAGAAGCCAGCTTGGGTGAGAGGTCACGAGACAGGTTAACAAAAACAATATAGGCATTTCTTAGCCCAGGGATGTGCATGCTCCATTAAGAAGGCAGATTAAGAAAGCAATTTGGTAGTCATTGAGATGAATGGCATTCTATAAATACATTATTATTATTATTATTTATTATTTCACTTTACAAATAATGTTTTTTTTCTTTGAGCGTTTTCTAAAAGCACCTAACACTAGTGTGATGACTACAGTTCTCCTTAATGTGAAAGCCAATTAGTTTTCACTCATTTGCCTTCCTGAAGGCGATACATGCTAAATTCCAACTCTGGCCCTTCACTAGATATTTATGTCCCAGGGGTTTCACTGAATAAGGACTGAGGCTTTTTTCCCCTCTTCTGGTTACGTCATTGTGTCTGGAAGCTATCATTGTGCTGTGTGTGTCCAGTAGTGCCGCAGCGGGACTTTGAAAATATGCCTAGCTGATTCCCAGGGTCTCTGCTGACATCTTGGGAAGTTATTCATGTGATACTCTCCGGAAAGCCTGTGGGATTAGGGTGATAGTGAGAACTGTATGTCTTTCTAAAATAAATGCTCCAGTGGTATCGAAGTTTTGGGCCTTATGAAGAATTACTCAGTGCAATTCTCTGTTTTATATTCTGGAGATTAGACTAGATTATTTTAGGCCACATCTTCACCACCAGGAAGATGGATGCTGTGGCGAGCGATCTTCCAGAATTTGATTCAGTGGGTCTAGTAAAGACCCAGTAAATCAAATGCTGAGAAGAGCCCTCATCGGTGCCAGTACTCCTCGAATCACGAGGAGTAAGGGAAGTTGATGGGAGCATTTGCTTCCATTGCCCTTCCGATGTGGAGATGGTGTTGAAGGTCGAATTAAGGTACATCAACCCCAGCTACACAATTAACGTAGCTGAAGTTGTGTATCTTAATTCAATCTTCCAGGTAAGTATAGACAAGGTCTTACTGTCTTTTCTGGTCTTATCAGGCTATAATTTTCTAAGCAAGAGATGTTAGGAAGAAATTTTGAGAAAGAAAATGCACATATATTCATTATGATGGAAGAAACTTGGGTTCAGTTCAGGATCTGTGCAGTTCTGAAAACAGAAAACAGATGGTTGGTCACCAAAGTCATAATGTGTGTTAGCTGTTCGGGGATTCTTATGAGAGGAACCCTAGAGAAATAGATCCCATTGCCTCTGTTACTCAACATCTGAAAAAGCCACTATTGGAAATCTGGCATGTACACATAATAGGCAGATGTGCACCCCTTTTTCAACCAAAAAGATCTTCCTGACAGTCAGGTATGTCTACACTGTATGCTTATCTCGATTTAGAATCCCAGGAAGCATGGTAGGGATCACTTAGAATGGCCCTGGTGAAGTGCTATTTCAAAATAGCAGCAGTGGAGTGTCTACACACGCCTTATTTCAAAATAACTATTTCAGAATAGGTGTTTTTCCTCGGAGAATGAATTTCTGAATAAGCCGTCCGTTATTTCAAAATTATTTCAAAATAATGGATTGGCTGTGTAGACGCTCACATTGTTATTTATACATAACGCTAGTTATCTCAAAATGACGATGCAGTGTAGGCTCACCCTCAGAGACTCTGTGTGACACGGTTTCCCAGAGGAAGAATACCTGGAACTCCAAGCCAGAAAGAGGTGATGTTGTTTGAATTCAAGAAACATAGATTGGAGGGAGGCACTGATTGAAAAGGCGACTTCACCTCTTACTGGAGACCTCTACACTTAGTGGATAGTGTTCTGGATTGTTCCCCTTAATTTCTCTGTTCTAGAAAGGCATCCACATGCATAAATGACTTCTCTCACCGTCAGCTTGCTGTCCGTCTTCTTCTCCACTCAGGACTCAGGAACAATGACCCATGCACCAAACCCCTTCCTATTGGACAATGGCAATTCACTATACTTGGAGCTAGCCCTATGGATGTGGTGTTGGTAGCAGGAATCAATCTTCTAAGCTGAGCAGGGTGCTGTGGAAACACCATCTTACTGTTCTGTGTGCACTGTTGTTTATCAGTTTAATTCTGGGTACAGATCAAGGTTGCTATCTTTGGAGAGGGTAGAACTTCAGAAACCTGATGGATTATTCTGCAGTTACCTAAGTGAATGTTCCTCTCTGATCCGATACCATACCAGATCGACTGAAAAGGGATTCTGCCCCTCATGGAGCCCCAGTTGCAACTTGAACCAGCTGGATGTTGAGATGAAAAGCAATCTCATACATGGCCCACTGTTCTGGAACTTGCTTCTCTAGAAGATCAGACTTTAGAACACATGGCAAGGTGCACATGGGAAGATTGGTTTTGCTCAAGTTAGAAGACATCCAGCAGTGAAGGAATCTGCCAGCCAAGCACAGTCCCAAATTGGAAGAATGGAGGAGTGCCTGAAATGTTTAGTGAGATTCAGCTATTAATGCTAGAGAAATGAATGAGACCTTAAAAATACCTTCCCCCAAACATAGCCCAAATTCTATTATGATATAGGACTGCAACACACAAATGGATAACTGGACAGGGTGGAGAAGAGAAATCTATGCCAGCATGATGTGAATCAGTTTTTTATCATGAATAAAACAACACCTCTAGAATTCTTTGAGACCTCGCACCCTTGACAATTATTCAGAGAAAGGGCGAAGAATCTTCTTGCACGGAAATGTCAGTTGTTCCTTTGCTCTGTAAACAAATAGGATGCCTTGAATGTAGCATTTGAATATATAAAATGTATCTAGAAGAAGACATTTGTACTTACATTCAGATGTTACCTTAAGCAAGAGCAGGCCCATAAGATCGGATGAGTATCACATGGTAAAAAAAATAGGATAAGAAAAATTAGCCATTAAGGCATGATAGGGCATTGCATTAAGGGCTACTTTAATTATTTTCAAATGTTTGTTGCAGGGTTTTATATGAGATTACGTTCAGATTCTCCTATAATTGCCTACTTTGCAGTCCCACTCATGTACAGCAGCCACCTCAGTTCAATTAAAGGCAATCTGAATTGTGCCCTGGTCCTATCTTACGCCACAAAAGATATATGGAATAGTGCATGCTTTAGATCTTTTTCTGGTGGGGTATTTGATACTTTATAGAATACAGACTATGATGGGGTTGCCTTCAAGAGGAATCTAATCAGTCCTCCGGGGATGTGGTCAAAACCTACCCTAAAAGGTTTTTTGGCAATATGCCATTGATTGAGTCATTTGCTCCTAGCACTCTTTAACTCAAAAACAATCCAACCTTGAACACAGCTGCAGAACATCTCCACCACTTTGGATCGCACACCGGCCTGTCCCTGGAGTAGTCGGGTCAAGGAAGGAAGGTTTTCTACTAAGATGCCAACACATAATTCTTTTGCCTAGAGAGTCATTAGGATGCACCTCAGTCTCCTTTCCCTTAAGAATGCGGGATCTGTTGGAACATGGGCCTTTGTAGTAGGGAGTGAGATGTGCCCGCTGCCTCACAGAGCCATGTTGGAGCTGTGCTAAGTGAACACAACAAACAGACGGGGGATGGTCTATGATCACTGAGTTACTCAGGTTAGCCATGTGCAGATAGAGTAAATAGTCATTGTCTGTCTGTCTGTGTACCCACACAGGTAGACAGACAGACAGATAGAGTATATAGTCATTGTCTGTCTATCCAGACAGATAGATAGATAGAGTATATAGTCTGTCTGTCTGTCTGTCCAGATAGACTGGCAGACAGACAGATAGGGTATGTCTACACTAGCCCTCTTGTTCGAACTAGGAAGGCTAATGTAGGCATTCGAAGTTGCAAATCAAGCCCGGGATTTAAATATCCCACGCTTGATTTGCATCTTCCCAGCCAATCGCCATTTTTGAAATTTACAAGTCTGGACTAACTGCCCATGTCTACACACAGCAGGGACCCGGTAGTTCGAAATAAAGCCCTAGTTCGAACTACCTGTTAAACCTCATTCCAGGAGGAATAACAGGTAGTTCGAACTAGGGCTTTATTTAAACCGTCTGGGAAGATGCAAATCGAGCATGGGATATTTAAATCCTGGGCTTGATTTGCAACTTCGAATGCCTACATTAGCCTCCCTAGTTCGAACTAGGGGGCTAGTGTAGACATACCCATAGTCACTTCTTGTGAGCATTGTGGAAGAAGCCTCACCCAACCCCTGGGCAAGGAGCAAGGGGTGACTCTGCACTCCTGGAAGGGGCAGGGCCTCAGGCAAAAAGGGAAGGACCCAGGAAGAAGGGATGGGACCCAGGCAGACAGCCCTCAGCACCACCCTGGCTGAGCTGTGCTCGCCCAACCTCAACAGCGCCTGGTCCAAGCGGCACCTGGCCAGCCCTAAGAGCTGCCCAGAGCACACCATGAGGCACTCCAGCAGCAGTTTGAAGAGTCCAATTGTGGAAGAAGCCTCACCCAACCCCTGGGCAAGGAGCAAGGGGTGACTCTGCACTCCTGGAAGGGGCAGGGCCTCAGGCAAAAGGGGAAGGACCCAGGAAGAAGGGACGGGACCCCGGCAGACAGTCCTCAGCACCACCCTGGCTGAGCTGCGCTCGCCCAACCTCAACAGCGCCTGGACCAAGCGGCACCTGGCTAGCCCTAAGAGCTGCCCCAGAGCACACCATGCAGCACTCCAGCAGCAGTTTGAAGAGTCCAGGGCTCCCCTCTCCACAGCAGCTGTAATAGGGATGGCAGCAGTCCAGGAGACCTGGGCCGTTTTGAATTGCCGGGACTCATGGCAATTGCCTTCTTTGCCTGCCTCCTTTCCCCCTCCTCCCAGGTTTCTGGGCCAGGGAAGAAGTGAACTTCGAGGAGGGTTTGGATGAGAGAATCTTAGGGCTTGTCTACACTTTGGAGAAGATCAGCCCAGCCACAGTCGATCTTCCAGGTCAAATTAGTGGGTTTAGTGAAGACCTGCTAATTCAAACTGAGAGGGCACCACCGTCAGTGTCTGTAGACGTGCTCTGCACGATGAGTAAGGGAAGTCGACGGGAGTGTGTGCTACCATTGACCTCCCACTGTGTGGGAAAAGTCAACATGCTATTTAAAGTAATACGCAACACCAGTGATGTTCATTTTAATCAACTTTCCCCATTAGTGCAGACCAGGCCTTAGTGGGGTAAGTTCCACATTTCACTCTGGGTAGCACCGGTGATAGGAATTGCTATACAAGAACAGGCCAAAGGGCCATCTAGTCCTGTGTCCTGTTCCTAACAGTGGCCAGGTACAATTCCTCAGAGCATGGACTAAAACCTCAGAAGCTTGACTAGATTATTGCGTGGTTACCGAAGTGAATGTCTCTCTTGCCAGTCCAACACCATACCAGCTAGACTGAAATGGGATTCTCCCTGTGTTGCAACTTACATACAATGCACTGAAATGTGCAGCAATGCCCCTCAGGGGAAACGTTTTTTTCCTGACCCCTTCTCATGCTTTGATGCTTGTGTGCCTGTTGTATAACTAATAACCCGGAGTCTAGCTGGCTGTGATCCTTCCAGCATAGCCCTTCTTCAATGATTTTCAGTACCTGGGAGTGTTGCAGATTCCTGTTGCCTTGTGTGAGGGGTCACGGCAAGCATTCTCACTCAATTATAGCTCTTACCTGAGGCAGAATAGAAAGAAATAAAGTTTTTATTTGCAGCAGCCTCCTTTTGAGTGGCAACGCAGCCGTCCAGAAACTTGCACTACAGAGAAAAAGCTCTTGCTTTCTGCTAGCCATGGAGACCTGTGGCAATGCAGAGTTTGTTAGCTCTAGAGCCGTATGGATTACTAGTCCCTCACATGCCTGCTGCAGGAGCCCATGTCTCTGGGCTGCATTCTCCTCAGCTCTCTTACTTGATAGCGTATGTAGAACACATAGCTGCAGTTAGCTTACCTCTAGGTTTGATTTAGCAAGTCTTAACTAGACTCGCTAAATCAAACTCCAGAAGATTGATCGCGACAACGTCAATCTCCTGCAGAGTGAAGACGAGGCCTATGCTTTGGAACGGAAGCCTGGTAACTGCAGGAGACAAGTCTTGTAATGCGTCAGACCAGATCCCAGGGCACGGAGGTCAGACGGAAAGAAAATGTGATGGCTACCCAAGAGGAAGCTTCTCTGACACATACAACCCCTCAGCAATTATTAGCAGCCACAGGCAGTATATGCGTCTCAGTCGTAGGTGTTTAAGATGTGCCAAGGGGCTCCTGAAACTTGCACCAAGATTTTGGCAGAAAGGAAAATCCTTTTGACAAGGAGGCGGCGTGAGGAGCCGGGATGGGAAAGGAAAAGCCCTAGTGACTTCAGAGTGGCATGAAGTCCCAGATGCGAGACTGTACGCTGTTGCTGAAGCGTCTTTCTTCTGTAAATGTCATCACTTGTTATTCCGTAAATATCAGCCTCGGTAACACCTGAGGACAGTCTTTAGAGGAAGACGGGAGCCCTTTCCAGCACAGGGAGTTTACTGTTATCTAAAGGACAATGTCCCTTTCTTGTTTTATAATACAGTGCAAAGGAAAATACAGATGGAAAGCAATAGCTGGCCGCAAACCTCATGGGGTTGGATTACAAATAAAGTTTTGATTGGAAAGTCAAATACATAGAACTCATCCATCAGCCCACACATCAGTTCCTTTCCTCTCTCTCCCTCCCCAATGGCCTATGCACATACAGATACACAAAATAATATGTATAGATGCTCTCAGACCTTCTTCTCCCCCCAAAAAACATATAAACCCTGGCTACACACATGTATGCTTCCCCTACCGTAACAGCACTCAAAAAGACACATGCAACACAAACTGTACATGGCCCTTCAGACTGCATGTTCCCTCACACAAACCCGGTGCAGAAACTCAGAAGATACACAACAAAACAAACAGAGTCTGAGACCAGGTCTACACAAGACCCAGCAACTCAGCATAAGGTTCACAGCTCCAGCTACACAGAATACATACTTGGAGACAGCTTAGCTTAAGCCAGGGTTGGGCAAAATATGGCCTGAGGGCTGGATCCGGCCTGCCAAGCCACCGGATCTGGCCCATGAACCATCCTGATGGGACCCTGAGGTACAAGTAGCTGCCGTGGTTTAAAACACAGTCCCTGTAGCTCTCTGCTCTGCAACGAAGAGGAGGCTTTGTGCGATCTCCCCGCCCCCAGCCCAATCCTCGAAGAGGAGGCTTTGTGCGATCTCCCTGTCCCCAGCCCAATCCTCAGCTCCTATTGGCCAGAAACAATCAGCTAATAAGAACTGACCTCAGCCAATCTCTTAGCTCCTATTGGCTGGAAACAGACAGCCAATCAGAGCTAAGAGATTGTCCTGAGAGACTGGGACAGTGCAAACCTCTTCCCCCCACCCTGAGTTGAGCCATGTGGAGGGAGCAGACTGTAGTTTCAAGTGGGCTGGGGTGGCAGTAGGCAGAGAGTCCAGCCTGCCTTGGGGGTGCTGCAGCCTGCTAGCCAGGAGACACTTAGATAAACTTCTTCCAGCCAGCTCCTGCCTGTGGCACCCCAACCCCTCCTGCACCCCAACTCCCTCCCCGAGATCACCAGCCAAACCCTCTGCCCAGGTGACAACTCCCTCCCAGACCCTGAATCCCCTCCTACACCTCTCCCCTGGGCCAGAACCCTCTCCTGCACCACACGCCCTCCCTGGCCCTACACCTGAATACCCTGACCCAGGTCACAACCCCCTCCTTCACCCAAACACCCCCTCAAACCCCACACCCTCTCCTGAACCCCAGTCCCTTACCCCATGTGCCCTTCTGTACCCAGCCTCCATCCTAGATCCCAGACTCCCTCCACAGAAAAGTGGGGCCCTTGACCACTTACCAAAACCTTGGAGTGGCCCCCAACCAAAAATTATTTCCCACCCCTGCGTTAAGTCAAGCTTGGCGGCATCCTCACAGCAGGAGGCCAGTGGAAGTAAATGTTCCGGTTGGCTTCCCTGACTCCTGGCAAGAACAGGAGTACTGGACACCAGTGGGGATGCCCTCTGAGTTTGATTGAGTGAGTCTTAATTAGACTTGCTGAATCGAATTCTGGAAGATGGATCGCGTCAGTGGTGATCTTCCGCAGAGTGAAGATGTGGCCTTGATACATGTGCATAGATTGAACACACACACAAACAGTTCAGAGATACTCAACACACACAGACTATGGCTATTTTAGACAGAAAGTCGGTGCAAGATGGCTCTCATTTGATTTTGAAACTAGAGGGGGCAGGAATCACTAGAGAGATAATTTCATTCAGGCTCATTCTCTTCACTTTTACTCCTGCTTTCCATTGGGGAAACCCCATGCATTCCTCTGATTTATCCTAATGTGGAAGGGAAACAAATCCCATTCTCTTTAAAGTAGCAAATGTATTTTTGGTGAAATGATTGTGGGCCAGATCCTTAAGCAGTGTAAACTGGTAACACTCTACTGAAATCAATTTATACAGCAACTTTAAAATGGGGGATATGACTGCTCTTCACAAGCTCCTAGGGTGAGGTAAGATCTAGTGGACAAAGCAATGTACTGGAACTCAGCAGGTTTGTGTTCCATTCTGATCTCTGCCACTCTGGTTTGGCACCGCTAGATTTAGGGCAAGTCACTTCTCTCACTGTGTAAAATGGGCATAACGATGATCCCAAAGGCTGCGCAGAGGAAGGAAGTTCCATGTTGTGCAGAGGAATAGCAAGAGTGTTATGTGCCCGGGGAAAAAAGGCAAAATTACCAGCAGAGATGGAGGAGGGTCGGGCTGAGAGTGGGGAGACGGGAAGGAGTCTTTAGCCACCAGCGGCAGGCAAGCTGTGGTATGACAGGGGAAGAATATAACATAAGAACATAAGAATGGCCGTACTGGGTCTGACCAAAGGTCCATCCAGCCCAGTAGCCTGTCTGCCGACAGTGGCCAGCACCAGGTGCCCCAGAGAGGGTGGACCGAAGACAATGATTAAGCGATTTGTCTCCTGCCGTCCCTCTCCAGCCTCTGACAAACAGAGGACAGGGACACCATTTCTATCCCCTGGCTAATAGCCTTTTATGGACCTAACCTCCATGAAATTATCTAGCTTCTCTTTAAACTCTGTTATAGTCCTAGCCTTCACAGCCTCCGCTGGCAAGGAGTTCCACAGGTTGACTACACGCTGTGTGAAGAAGAACTTTCTTTTATTAGTTTAAACCTGCTACCCATTAATTTCATTTGGTGTCCTCTAGTTCTTCTATTATGGGAACTAATAAATAACTTTTCTTTATCTGCCCTCTCCACACCTCTATCATATCCCCCCTCTGTCTCCTCTTTTCTAAACTGAAAAGTCCCAGTCGTTTTAACTTCTCATATGGGACCCGTTCCAAACCCCTAATCATTTTAGTTGCCCTTTTCTGAACCCTTTCCAAGGCCAAAATATCTTTTTTGAGGTGAGGAGACCACATCTGTACGCAGTATTCCAGATGTGGGCGTACCATAGTTTTATACAGGGGCAGTAAGATATTCTGGGTCTTATTTTATTTTCTATCCCTTTCCTAATAATTCCTAGCATCCTATTTGCCTTTTTGACCGCCGCTGCACACTGCGTGGAAGTTTTCGGAGAACTATCCACAATAACTCCAAGATCTCTTTCCTGATTTGGCGTAGTCAAATTAGCCCCCATCATACTGTACGTAGTTGGGGTTATTTTTCCCAATGTGCATTACTTTACACTTATCCACATTAAATTTCATTTGCCATTTTGTTGCCCTATCACTCAGTTTGGTGAGATCTTCTTGGAGTCCCTCACAGTCTGCTTCTGTCCTGACTATCCTAAACAGTTTGGTATCATCCACAAACTTTACTACCTCACTGATTACCCCTTTCTCCAGATCATTTATGAATAAGTTGAAAAGGATTGGTCCCAGGACTGACCCTTGGGGGACACCACTAGTTACCCCTCTCCAATCTGAAAATTACCATTTATTCCTACCCTTTGTTTCCTGTCTTTTAACCAGTTCTCAATCCAAGAAAAGACCTTCCCTCTTATCCCATGGCCATGTAATTTACACAAGAGCCATTGGTGAGGGACCTTGTCAAAGGCTTTCTGAAAATCCAAGTATACTATATCTACTGGATCCCCCTTAGCCGCATGTTTGTTAACCCTTTCAAAGAACTCTAGTAGATTAGTAAGACAGGATTTCCCTTTACAGAAACCATGTTGACTTTTGTCCAACAAATTATGTTCTTCTACATGCTTCACTATTTTATTCTTTACTATTGTTTTGACTAATTTGCCCGGTACTGAAGTTAGACTTACCGGTCTGTAATTGCCAGGATCGCCTCTAGAGCCCTTTTTAAATATTGGTGTCACGTTAGCTACCTTCCAGTCATTAGGTACGGAAGCCAATTTAAAGGATAGGTTACAAACAAAATATAAGAGCTCAGCAATTTCCCATTTGAGTTCTTTTAGAACCCTTGGATGAATGCCATCCGGTCCCGGAGATTTGTTAACATTAAGTTTTTCTATTTGTTCCAAAACCTCCTCTAATCCGGGACAGTTCCTCAATTCATCACACACAAAGGACGGTGCAGATTTGGAAATCTCCCTAACATCCTCAGCTGTGAAGACTGAAGCAAGGAAATCATTTAGTTTCTCCGCAATGGCTTTATCATCTTTGATTGCTCCTTTTATAGCTCGATCATCTAGGGGACCCACAGGTTTTTTAGCAGGCTTCCTGCTTCTAATGTACTTAAAAA